TTGCTCATCTCCTGGGTGAGAACTGACACAGGATTGTTGACCTTGAGTAAGAAAAAAAAGTCAGGTTGATCAACGCTCTCATACACGACCCATTCGATATTCTTCATTTGTATAACTGCTACCTGAATATTAAAATTGTCCAGAATTGACGCAAGCTCCTCCTTTTTGGATGAGATGATTTGACCTATAAAGAAAAACACAATTACAACTACAAAGAAGGGATAGCAGATTCTTTTGTGGAATGCATCTACTTCTCTGTTGCGGAAATCCCAGCAATATTGGAGAAATCTGCAGTTAATCGTGATGCGTTTTATTGGGTTTTTACAGTATACAATCTATAAAACACATAAAAGGCATGAGCGCTGCTGTCAACCCTCGCTCACGCCCAGACACTCGCTGACGTCACCCGCCACCCCACCAGGTCCCTGCTTTTTGATTGCTATTATTTTAGTCGATTCTTCCTAACTCATTTATTTCATAGTTCTTCTCTCAAGTTATATTGAAAGGTGAGTTTTTCAAGGATTCAATGGCTTTTTATCGTCGTGGCAACAGACGATTCCAGTATACGGCATGAAATATGATACGCAGGGTTGCAGGTTTAGCCCAGTAAACCCAAGACTTGTGAAAATTAAACAACGAAAAAGGAGACACTTATCCGCGGTTTGATTGTGTGCAACAATGCAATGCAGCAAAGGTGCGGCAGATTGCTGAATAAAAATCCAAGAGGCTTGAATTTCAGATCGTTTCAAGGTCATTTTATAGGTCGTATGTGTAAATATGGCAGTTTATTGATCTCATACAGACATTAACTACTGAGCCCCTTTGAAGTCAGTCGCTAATCTAAACAGCAGCACTGAAGCACCTAAATGGTCTCGCAGATGAACTGCGGCGACAGTATCAAACCTGACCGAACCACGTGTGTTAGCGTTGTGTTTGATGTCGACTCAAGTTTACCGCTTTGACTCTTCAGCTTGTACGTTCTCACTCCATCGTGGGTGAGCCTCAAGTCTATGATGATGGAAGGACCATACAGCTCAGGTTTGTAGGCGTCCTTCCCTTGGTTATGTAAGGTGATAGACACATCGGCCGAGCTATGACAACCGAGAAATAATAATGAGCATCACGGTGTATTAATCTAATTGGCACTGCATGTGTGTGCCCCATTTCATGAAAACACACAAATACAGTGGAAACTCCGAAGTGCAATGTGTTATGACTTCCAAGTTGTTCTCATTTCAAGGTTGCAATGTCCCGTGCTGATCAGGCCAAAATGGCATCAAATGTTTCTAAGTTTCAAAGAGAAGAAGATAGCTCCTCCAGCCAACACTGCGGTGTGCCGCTATGTTCGGAGTCATTTAACATCATTCCGATGATGCCACTATGCGTGGACACGGCGACCCCAAGTTAACAAGCCACATTAGGCAAAATGTGTTAACACTGCAAGCATTGTCCAGTGATTTTTTTTTTTTTGTTCCCAAGCTCAAGGACAAGAAAACCTTCAACTCAACGGGCACTGTTTTGAGTAACACGTTGACATTCACTTCCAAATATGGCTCAGGAAAAAGAAAGAAAAAGAAATGAAGGAAAAAGAAACTGTGGGAACAAAAAAGAAGAGAGCAAAAGAGATGAGAGAAGGGAGAGGGAAAGAGCAAAACATGAATACAGAGAGACATAGGGAGATTACAAATCATTATTCAAATCAATCGGGTAAAAGTGAGCAGATGTGTCACTTGAAAATAAACAGTCACAAATTATTGTACCGACATTATATTAGAAGTGGCCACTTGAACCTGCAGTGCAAATCCAACTTTCAAGCATCCATACAGGGGATGTAGCAGAAAATACTGTATACTAGATTGCAAATTTTGATCAGGCCAAGGCCTTTACCTTTCACCTTCCTTGACAAAACTCTTGAGGGATGATCCCCTGCTTGTGGCCTGCGCATTCCCGCCTAACGAAACAATGAGCGCTGTCAGGATGGCGCTCTTTCCACCTGCATGGAAAAAGGGCAGATTTCAAGCAGAATGACTAAAGAGATGGACAACAAGGAGCATTTCGCCTGAAAAAAAAATACAATTAGGGTCAGGCGATTTTTAATAAAAAACACCCACCCACCCCCGCAAAAAAAAAAAAAAAAAAGTTCCACTCACTTCCATTGCGGCCGACGACAAAGTTGATGTTGGACCCGAAGGTGATGGGGCCGAGGAAAGAGTGGCACATGAAGTTTTTCAACGTGATGCTCTCCACTATGCCGGCGTCACTTGGCACCTCACCCACACTTTGCTCCTAAACAGGCAAACAAAGTTGTTTTGAATAACAATTATCATATTTACATTTGACTTTAATTTAATCCCACTTGAAAGATGATGCATAAATTGGTGATAGTAGTAATACAAGCTACGAAAACGGTTTATTTATTATGCGCAGCAATGACAAGGCATCATCTTTAGTAGATCAACCATCAGTTATTTTTGCCAATCTATCCATAGCATCCACCACTTCAGCAATCGTTGATTGTTGCTATCCATCGGCGTCTTTTATCTTCATCAGCAAGTGTGTGATAAAAAGCCAAATTTTACACACTTGTCTATTAGGACATCCAACCACACAGCAAGATGTGACCATTTTAAAAGATAATAGCTTATATAAATGGATATGGGACTGTACGCTTTACAGGAGCTTCCACAGGCGCAAATAGCTACAGGTATTTTGCTCCGTCAAGCGGAGGGGGCGTTCCTACAAAAGCTGTGACGTAACGCGCAAAAGGTGAATCCACACACCCTCGCGGGACCATACTTCCTGTAACACAAACCACGTGACGTCGTTTGTTTGTTTTTTTTTTTTGGTTTTTTTGTTTTTTTAGTGCAAGTCACTCCTTTGTGCGCATTAAGGATGTGTTGCGTATCCATTAGTCGCATTTGTTTCTGCAATGTGAACGAGTACACATTAAAAAAAGATGTTATTGAACAAAAGTAAAAAAACTAATAAATAAAATTGGACGCCCTGCAGTGTGAACGTAGCCTATGAACGTGTTTACCTGTGTACAACGTCGAGACTCTCCCTCTTCGTCTTCATTTTCGTTTTCGTCATGCGGCTCGGACGCCAGCCGTTTGTGGGGTGTGAAGTTCACAGGACTACTTTTCCTTTTCTTCATTCTGTGCTCTTTCTTTTACCTAAAAAGAGGGAGTAAGGAAAAGGCTGAGCTTCTGCTGGCTGCTCACTGCCCGGCCATGAAACAAACTGCGACATTGTCTCCAGTATTTAACTTGACTGCACATCACAAACAAACCCAACACGGTAGCGTTAGCATTCGCTAGCTATCAAACGTCCGGTGACAGCAAAAATCGAGCAGTAGTTTGTTACCCGCTGAGATTATTCACGAGGTTTGGGTGACTTTCCGATTATGCGGAGGCAGCGTACCTTACGTTCGAACGACGTGACAGAAGACGAGTCAGTGAGCGGTGCAGGAGAAACAACTTGGTTTGCAAATCAAAATTCCAGCGCCAAGTGTTCTTATGGACATCTCGCGAGAGCACACAAAATCTATCTAGAGAGAGAGGCAGACAGACAGACGGAGAGAGACAGAGACAGAGACACACGTTTACACACATAGTATGGGGCTGCATGGTGAACGTTTGGTTAGCAAGTCCACCTCCGTGCAGAGGTCATGAGCCCGGCTTTCCCGGTGTGTACTTTGCATGTTCCCACGTACATGGGTTTTCTCCAGGTACATCGGTTTCCTCCCACATTCCAAAAACAAGCATGGTAGTGTTGGGGTAAGAGCGGCCTCCTCTTCCCCGCGTATTCGTTGAATTTCGGACGAGGAGAATGTTGGTTCTTCAAATAAAGGCTGGAGTCGATGAACAGTTCCTTCGAAGCTTTTAATAACAGAATATTCCGAATCAAAATTCCAGCGCCAAGTGTTCTTATGGACATCTCGCGAGAGCACACAAAATCTATCTCGTGCCTATCTTCCCTCCGCAGTGAATGATGCCGCTTACCCTACAATATATCGATATCTATATCTCTGATACACCTCTACATATATATATATAGATATAGATAGATAGATAGATAACATGGGTTTTCTCCAGGTACATCGGTTTCCTCCCACATTCCAAAAACAAGCATGGTAGTGTTGGGGTAAGAGCGGCCTCCTCTTCCCCGCGTATTCGTTGAATTTCGGACGAGGAGAATGTTGGTTCTTCAAATAAAGGCTGGAGTCGATGAACAGTTCCTTCGAAGCTTTTAATAACAGAATATTCCGGGCACCTGCGAATTAGACAATGGCTGCGCGTCACGAGTGCGAAGCAGGAAGAGATTCACATCATTTTTATACAATCAGAAGGGCGGTACCGAGACACAAAGTGTGATATCATAACTTTCGTTTCTCCAAAACCGATTCTGAGCTTGGCGCATTCCAAAGTGTGTGCGTCTTCAGCAGGGAGTATTCCAATTCCAGGTGATGATTGTTACAAGGACGCCAAGCTACACTGCGGGCATGGGAAAGTTATATAGCATGATCAAATATGAGTAGAATACAGACTTCAGTAGGTTGATTGAATGCTCAAAATTGTCCACAAGTGTGATTGTGAGCGCGAATGATTGTTTATCTATATGTGCCCTGCAATTGGCTGGCAACATGGTGCACCAATAATGTTCTTACACAATGTATCCTTTTAGCTTTCTGAAGCACTTTGCTACTTACTTTTAAATGGCAACTGCATTAATTACATGTATCATTGTCTCAAGTATTTGATTTTTTTTTTTAATATTTCAGCAGGTTTGGCGTTTTTTTTTCCCCCCAGTTGTTTTTGGTGGTGAACAAAACGTAAGACTCAAATTAAACAATCTGAGCCTTTGTGGTTGATTACAGTAGATGCCGAAAATAAAACACAATCACATTGGTTACAGTTCAATTTCTATTTTCATTAAGGATTCAGAGTAGTTCAAAGAGCTTTTCATGGGGAAAAGTTTTATGGAAACAATCAGTCCACAACTTGGGTAGCATATATTTAATATCAGAAACTAGTGCAGTATAACAGTATATGTAAAAAAAAAAAAAAAAAAAAAGTAAGAAGCTCAATCACAGGAGCAAGCGTGCACAGTGCTTGTTTCCAAAACCAAAAAAGTTCTTAGCCAAAAAACTTCTTTCGTATACCGATATAAGAGGACACCTTTGCTGGGATGGAAGACACAACATGTTTTGATTGTCTTGCAGAAGAAGGGGCCAACTAAATCTAATCCAGCTGTTTCATTTTTCAATAATTTCTGGGCTCACAACAAGAAAGGAGTCCACTTTTCAAACTGTGTTGGAGGTGAAAGTACCTGAGGTTGGCATTTTTGGCCCTGGAGAAGATGCAATAGGGAAAAAAAAAGAAAAGGGAAAAAAAAGCCAACAGAACGATCAACAAGATCAGTGCAAATATGGCCCCGGGAGATGAATAAATGATAAAATACGTTGCGGGCAGCTGTCCATTTTGTTTATATCCTTACTTCTTGGTTGTCCATCCAAAAATATGGGATTGTTCAGCAGCATTGAGCCTCAATGTGAAGTCAAAAAAAAAAAAAAAGTATCACTTCGTGATTGATGAAGAAAATAGTCTCTAAAATATAATCATCAGAGTCTACAATTTAGCATCTTTCATGTCAGCGGCAGCAGTTTGTGATAAGAAAACAAAAAAGGCATAAAAATACTGGATTGTTGTTGTATATATTCCTCAGAAAAGGGTCAAGAAATTGGGCTTTAGGGTCAAATTTCAGGATGGATCTAAAATGTGAATGTGCAGAGGCTAGGCCCTGGCATGGCCACTTTAGAGCGCCTCACTGTCGTCGCAACTGTGCGTGCATCACAATGAGAAAGGTGGAAGGACGGTGAGGGGAAAATAATGGGAAATGAACAAAAAAAATAAATAAATAAGCCTGACTTGACAGCCAGAGGGTGGACAAAAACTCTGTGCTGGTGTAGCCACTTTAGAGCACCTCGTCGTCAGTCACAAGTGTATGCAAGTTGGAAGCATGGGGAAGGGAAAAAAAAAGGTGGGGTCGGGGGGAGTCGGACTTGACAGGCACCATTTAGACACGGCCTTTGAGCCACAGTGTGTAAAAGCCACGCAACAACCTGGCAGGGCATATTGCAGCTACTGAGACTTGAATTTGACCTTCTCTAAACTTCTGAACACACTTCCAAGTGTTTGTTTCAGTATTTTTTTGCACAGCTTGCTGTCTTTTCACAAGGAGCTGGGCGGCAAAAGAATCCATGAATGGATCAATAAATTTCCTGGTTCACTTAGATATTGTATTTAAACCCTGTAGGGTGTTCGCTTCTGTGGGACCTGTTTTCGTTTCGCGTGAACAGAAAATGGGCAGAAATCTATTTTTTTAATCCTCCTTAGCCTTGTCTTATTTATTGTGAAGAACAACTCACCTCGATTATATACAGGATACATTTTGTGTTTCTGACCTTGCAACATGGTTGCAAAATTCAATTCCCTACACCTTCTGGTCTCATGTTGCCAAACATGGGACCAGAAGTGGGAGTAAGTCACTAAATAAGCAACAATGAATCATCGGGACTTCAAAAATGACACACTCAGAGTGGAAACAGCGACTAAGCTCAGAGTGTCACCGGTGTCATCAGCAGGTTGTAATAGAGAGACTGTAAGAGTCACAGAAAGGCGCACAAGTGGAAACGTTCATGGATTAAACACTGGAGTTAGCCGTTCAGATCCTTGTTAGAGAAGAGCAAGGTGTGCACAAAGTACTAAAACAAATTGGCCGCACATGCCAGAAACCGCCACTTCAGTTGCACGCGTGTATTCAAGTTGCCCGAAGGTCAAATTCAATTCACCTGAAAAGGTTACAATGCATTTTTAGTTTCCTCCTGAAATTTCACCCCAAAGCCCGATCTCCCAAACTTTTTGCGTATGGTGTATGTGTGTTTGACACTTGTTTGTGTGGTCTATCCAAAGGTGGCGCCGCAGTTGGGACATCGCCTCTGCCGCAGGGCGAAGCAGAAGAGGATGCCCAGCGGGAAGAAGAAAATCGCACACAGGATTCCCAGGCAGGTGAAGTCGTCCTCCAGAACGCCAACTCTGACAAATCAAGTGAGGAGGAAAGAAAAGTGACAGATTAAGCTCCCTTTAGTTATGCGAGCACTAAGGGCTGCCACAGTTGATTTTTTTTTTTTTTTAGAATTGATTAATCATTGTTGTTTGCTTGGTATTTTTGTGATTAAAAACAACAATAAAGCAATATTACAGGAGAGGGACTGATGTTGACAGTGAACAATTCCAAATGGTTAAATGTGATCAACACATCTGATCGATGCTACCTAGAGGATGAGCTTAAAATACATTGAAGGCCCTGGAAACTGAATTCATAGATTTGCTTCTAAACACATTATACCTGTTTAAAAACGATGAGAGAAAACATGTGCAAAAGACTCAAAACTTTGTAGCAGCCAATTGTGGAGTGACAGGTAACACAAATGACTTTTTCACGTAGTGACAGGTAGTTTGGGATTTTTTTTTCGTGCTTTCATAAATTAAATTGGCATTTAGAAACTGCATTTTGTATTTCCTTGGGTAGTCTCTGTGTGATATTAAAATTGGTTTGATGAACTGAAACCTTTGGTGTGATAAATATGCAATGAACACAGAAATCAGGAAGGAGGGGATACTTTTTCACAGCACTGTATTGTGTAATAAAGTAAACTACATATGTTTGAACTTCCTTCTTCTGTATGGATGAACAAGCATTTTTATTTGATTTCAATAATTTAGATCCCCCCCATCCCCCAGTTCAGTTTTTGTTGTTTCATGAACGATTCTAACTTTGGTGCATTATTGGACACGGACATATCGCAACCTGCCATGTCATGTTCCAATATTTACACAACCATTTCCTGAAAAAGATTTTTTAAAATTCAACCACCAATTCGCTGTTCTGCAAGTGAATTAGCAATTTACCTATAACCCCGTACGGCTCGGCTTGTGACTAACAGGATGCTGTCTGCCGTGTGGTTTTAAAAAAAAAAAAGTGTGAAAGCCATATCCACTCACAAGATACAAAATATGAATGTGTGTGTGTGTGTGTGCGTGTGTGTCATTGCTCAACTTCACATCAACCAATAATGACGGTGGTTGTACCAGTAAAGGGATGTAAACAGACATAAATGCTCCATTCATCACAGCGACCATGCTCCAATCACATTGCTCACTTTGTTCAGACAGATTTAAAATATTTTTTTTTTTTATTTTACAAGTGGTGACATCAGCTCTACGTGATTTGTGCGTCTTCACCTGCAGGCCGGGCAGCCCCCTACGACCACAACGGACGGTTGAATGACCGTGTAGGTTCCAGCGTAGGGCTGATGGGACACGGGCGCTCCCAATTGGCCTGGTGGGTAGCCTGCGGTTGAAAACAAACGTACACATGATTGCACAATGAACTTCTTTGAAGAGGTGAAAAAGACAGGAAGTTTCAAGTTTTTCCGACCTAATCAAGTTGGGACGTTAGGAAAGCACCCTCTCTGATCATCCTTACAACTCGAATTCAAACACATCTTTATTCTTTGGCTTTTGACTCAGCCTGAGACACTGTATTGTTTTGGTGTCCAGTTTCTTTCGAGTTCTTAATTCTTCTGTGCTTAAATTTGTATGTGTTTGCGTGTGTGTACATGTGTGTGGGTGATGAGGCGGGTTATCTCTGTGCTTATTATTCATTTTATTGTTTTGACGTGAAGCTGTTTTGCAATATGAAAAGTACTCTATAAAGTTTGATTGATTGATATTTGTGGTGTTTTAATCTTTTTATGTTATTCATGGGTTTCAACTGTCTGTGGTTGAGTGACCAATATTTGCTCCATGTACAGCACTTTGTACAGTGGAGTTGAATTTGGGTGAGTAACTTCCAGGTAATATTGATTAGGTTCAAGAGCTGTTGCTGTGAGCTTTGATACGAAGACATGCGATAACTGATAACACGTGTGTATGTGGGGTAGGGTGAGGGACACTTGGATTCACTGTACATTCTGTAATCATTAACAAGTCAAGCCACGTTCTGGTTCCTCAACACGTTGCAGGGACAGCTACGAGATTGTTTCTCTCTCAGTGCTAAAAGTGCGATCAACCAATACATACATACAACTGGGAAAAAAAAATACCGGTTATATATTTTAGAATATCAACTAAAATGCTTAAGGGGGTGGCCCGGTGGTCAAGCGCGTCGACCTCACAGTACAGAGATCGTGGGTTCGATACTGGGTCCGGCCTTCCTGTGTGGAGTTTGCATGTTCTGCATGCGTGGGTTTTCTCGGCGTACTCCGGTTTCCTCCCACATTCCAAAAACAGGCATGGCAGGCTGATTGAACACTCCAAATTGTCCGTAGGTGTGAGTGTGAGCACGGATGGTTGTTTGTCTGTGTGTGCCCTGCGACTGGCTGGCAACCAGTTCAGGGTGTCCTCTGCATTGCATTTCTTTTGGAATTGTTTGTTTTTCAGCTCTTGCTTCTACTTTTGCATTTAATAGTGGTCGTGGTGGTGGTACTCAAAGACTTGGAGATTACACAGCGTTTTAAATAAAAATTGTGATTTCAGCAATTTTTAAAGATGGTACTTGAAGTAAAAAGTTGGATGTTTATTTCTCTGATGCGTTAACCATATAGTCCATGATATATAATTCCCTCAACAGTGATTAGGAATAAAACTTTGAGTAAATAACTCTGAAGGGAGCAGTTGTCGTGGTTGTTCGTCGAAGTCCTACATCCGGGATTTAATCAAAACTTCCACCCAAACCTACTTTCGGGATACAGTCACGACTTCCGCCCTATCAACAATATTTTTTTACATTTCATTGCTACGAAAACGAACATGCTACTCATTGACGGCAAAACGTGTTCTTCATCTATTATATCGGGCATTACAGGGTCTACAATTGCTGAATGAGAAGGTTTTCAGCATATTTTATCCCCTTTACAGTGACGCTTGAAAGCAACACAACCCGCGCAGAACCACTCCGGAAGTGCGCGTCGGTGACTCATTTTCGAGTTAGCGCTCGTAAAGTTGAAACATGCGAAGATACGACACACAGAGCAGAATCGCTGGCTAGTCTTTCTCACCTTGGCCGCCTGGTGGGTACTGGTAGGGCGGCGGTGCTGCGGCCGGTATGGCCCCATAGCCGTGCGGCGGTGGCGGCGGCTGCGGCGCCGGGGGGCCATACTCGTAAGCCCCGGGGACGGCGTTGTAAGCAGGAGGTCTGTCACGAAGAATGGGTTTGTTGTCCACCATATCAGCCAAAGTTGTCCGGTGTGCTACGTAACTTTACGGGAAGGACGCCGAGGTGTGGTCAGCACTCTTAAGTTTGCCGTCAGTCCCCAAGAAGAAGTAAAAAAAACAAAAAGACACGACGGTGGTTCACAAAAAAAGACACTGCGTCAAAAACGAAAGTTGGTCGCTCTCCATGCGCCAACTTTGTCCTTCGCGACGCATCAAACCCCAGTTTACAACATTCACGTCGAGACGGGAATGTTCAGACATTTAACTAAATGCCATCGTTGCTCCTCCGGCGCTAGGACAACAATCGTGTGTCACCAAAGCGCATTGTAACTCCGTTCAACTCACACGGGCTTTTTTTTTGTCCTCTCTAGATTGTCACAAGAGAGAAATCATGTGATGAGCGGTTGGTGCTGCCCCGCAAGTGCCCAGGCTTCTTAAAGAGACAGTGCAACAAAACAAATGGCCTACTTCGAATCGTCGTCACCAGTATACATATTTCATGGATTTTAATTTTATGTATCACTGGCGTTGGGCAAATTCATTGCATCTCCAAAAGAATGAAAGCCACTTTCGACCAGATCGGCCTGTCTGGAAGGGGCGTCGCTAGGTTTTATAGGAAGGGGAGTCCTTGGCACCAATCTTAATAATGTAAATGCTCAGTGGGTTTAATAAACGAGTAGCGCAGACCGCAGGTGTCCCCTGGGTCATATTTAGCCAACCCCTTGCATTTTATAATATATGAATATATAATATAGCAGATTTGTATTACGTGAATGAACCACCTGTTGTTATACTGTATACTAATTGCCTAAAATGGACTGTTTTTAATCAATCAACAAATCAATCAATCAAACTCTATTTATAGAGCACTTTTCATACGTCAAAATGCAACTCATAAAGTGATGTGCAGTTTAAAAAATTCAAAATTGCAACATTTATCATTCATTCATTTCATTTTCCGAACCGCTTTATCCTCACTCGGGTCGTGGGGGGTGCTGGAGCCTATCCCAGCTGTCTTCGGGCAGTAGGTGGGGGGGACACCCTGAACCGGTTGCCAGCCAATCGCAGGGCACACAGAGACGAACAACCATCCACGCCCACACTCACACCGAGGGACAATTTGGAGTGTTCAATCAGCTTGCCATGCGTGTTTTTGGAATGTGGGAGAAAACCGGAGTACCCGGAGAAAACGCACGCAGGCCTGGGGAGAACATGCAAACTCCACACAGGGAGGCCGGAGCTGGAATCGAACCCCATACCTCTGCACTGTGAAGTCGACGGGCTAACGACTGGACTACCGGGCCGCCATTACAACATTTAATTTATCTATATTTATTTTTTGAAAATTAGCCTTTGTTGTAAGCATTTAACCATCTTCTAATGATTTGAGTTCATGTTATACTTAATATAATTCCAATATTATGTCTTTATGCAAGTAACGCATTTATGTTTTTATACAAAACAGTGTTTTCACTTAATTTCCGCTTAGACTTGACCTTAATTTTCGATCATGATTCAACAATACCGCAATTCATGCAAGCGGGTCTTATCAAAAGACATACAGATATTTTGGCTGATTTCATTGCGCACACAAATTTAATGTTGTGAAACCCTAATGTCAGCGTGAGATTCAAAAAGGAAGGAGCTTCAGAAATTCCGACAACCATTGAAGAACACATTAAGGTGATGCACATTTGTGGGCGGGACTACGTTGAACCCGGTTGTGTATTTTATTTATTTATGTTTTTATTTCAAATAATGATTGAATAAATATGTATTATTACTTAATTGCCTAATTTCATTTACAGCAAACAATTTTACACCAGCCTACATTTTCAAATACAAAGTATATTATAGTGTATTAACTATGAAGTATCGTTGCTAATCATTATGGACACGTAAGATAGGTCTGGCTATTAGGTGTTGAGAAGAACGCGCCCTTCGTTTTAAATAATTAAAAACACTCATTCTTGGTATAAATTATTGAAATTTTGCACGTCAATCAAGCAGCAACAAACATCACGCGCTTCCGGGTTGGACCAATGAGGAAAGACAACAAGCCACACCCCCTTTGCGGTGTTTCAACCAATCAGTGCGCAGCTACCTCCATTTCCCGAGTTGTAAAACCAGCATTGAGCTTTCCGCTACTCTCCAATTAAAAGCCCGTTGTGTGAGGATGTCGGTGTGACTTCACTCTCTGGGACTCCGTGGGTCGCTTAATGGAATTGCAGAACCACATGTGTAACTAAGTAAGCGTTGTGGGTTTAAAAAGAACAGTGTTCAGAGGCTAAAAGCTAGTGGATATGTAAACAGCTGATAGACTAGTGTGCGGTAAAGGGGTCCACGGGTCCTTTTGCTAACATATGTCTGTCTTGCACAATGTTCCACAGGTATGCCGTATGCCATGACGCCTCCTTCCACATTTCCTTGACAACCACGTATCTGACACCGACATTCAGGTAGGCTATCTGCAACTGCGCGCATCCTTAATTAACAATATAATTGACGTCAACATAGCTCCCGTTTGTCTATTATAAGATTTTGAAAATTGTTTAGGCTTAAATAGCAATACAAAAAAAAAAAAAACAGAATGTCAATACGAAAAATAGTCCATAAAGGCCTGCTTGGAGTCAGGTATCAGTATCGGATTAGTAACAGTCATTAAAGCAAAGTTCCGGTCCGGCGTTTCAAAATAAAAGTAAAGACTATGTCTTTCAAAGTAAAATTTATCAGTAGGGCTGTTAGGAATCACTCACTGACCAAGAATAGTTAATTTCGACGAATAATTGTCAGACATTCAACTAAAAAATGATTAGGATTGCTTATGTGATTAGGTCAAATCACAAACTATGAGCCAAATAATTTGAATGGCATTTAAAACGCTTATAGATATCTTCAAAAATTGTAAAGCTTACCTCAAATCACACTGTCTTAATTTTGTAATGGCAACATGCAAAGCAAATGAGTTTGTTGTCTTCCTGACAACTTTAGTTTGTCCTGCTGCTATTTTGTGTCTGAACGATTCAATCAGATGGCAAGGCATATTCAACAACGCAAGCTTTTATTCTAAACTCAAGGCACCTCTTGTTCTACCAGTCCACTCTGTTTGTCTTAGGGAGCACCATGTCCGTCACACTGCTGTGGGCGGTAGATGTGTATGGGAGGGTGTACAGTGTTTCCACCGCTGGCCAGCATTGGGTGCGCACCGAAGACGCACTTTTGGAGCTCAAGCGCGTCACCGCCGGGAAAGGTCGCTGTTGGGGCATCGGCTGTGACCACCACGTATATCTCAACATGATACCCCATGAGATGCCCATCCGCTACAAAGAGGAGACCTATGAAAACCAGGTCGGCATGAGCTGACAGACTGACGTTCAAGGTTTCTCTTTATTCATCCACCAAAGGCAAAATTTGCCTTTGAGCAAGGGATTCCATCCATCCATATCTCATCCCATTAGTTGTTGACTAGAAACTTCTTTCATGTGTGATTTCAGCGGTGGAATCCTGTGGACGGCTTCACGGATACGCTGCTGCCCACCGACCGCTGGCCGTGGAGCGACGTGACTGGGATGAATCCTCAACCGCTCCATAGCTTCCAGTTGCCGTCCCGCAGCTGGGAGTGGGAGGGGGACTGGTATGTGGACCACAACTGTGGGGGAGAACCCAGTCAGACCGGGGTGAGAACACACAAGCTTCCTATTTAGCTGCATTAAGACTGGGGTGATGATTTCGAAACGACAGTCTGTCAGGAATACCGAAACAATCAGGTAGTGTTAAAACACTTTTTATACATGCTTTCCTATAGGGTTGGGAATATGCCGTCGACTTCCCCGCTAACTTCTCTCCCGACAAGAAGTGGAACTCTTGCGTGCGTCGTAGGCGCTGGATCCGCTACAGAAGATATACAGCACAAGGCACCTGGGCGAAGGTTTGGACTTTATTTGCAAGACACTCAATCCAGACCTGTACTACAACCGTTTAGAAAATGCTGCCCGCAGATCCCCTTGGACCATCCCAGGAAGCCCCCTCTACCTCTATGCGACATCAGCTGCGGCGGCTGGGAGATGAGTGACGAGTCTGGGAGGTATCCTTACCTTTGGGCTGTGTCTCAACAAGGACAGGTGAGAAAGGTTACAAAATTCTGTTGGTTTGCACGGGTGGTAACGGTAAAGAACAGACGTCAATTTTATTTCTACTTTGTTCAAAATTGCCTGATTATTATGATTAGTTTTAAAATATATTTTATGTATAGTTTTATATCAACTTCATTGACATTAATTGACAAAAGAAAGAAAATCCTACAAGGAGGCATCAGAGGCTGCAAATGTCGTTAGATCATTTGGTCACAAGGGGGCAGCATGACTTCAAATACTTGACGGCACAGAACTGTACATGGGATTTAAACAATTGGAATAGTCATCTGATGGTTATTTTGTTTCAGGTGTGGTTCAGGGAGGGCATCCACCCTCGGATCCCAGAGGGCACACGCTGGGACGAGGTCGAGGTGCCCAAGGAGGTGGTCCAGTTATCACTCGGTCCGAGAGACCTACTGTGGGCCGTTCTGTGGGATGGCAACCTGCTGGTCCGTACGGGCCTCAGCCTGGACAGTCCCACTGGTCAGCCGTCGCCTCCTTGTGATTTATTTTATTATTTTTTTTAATGGTACTGTACGTGAATTTCCATCGTGTAAGTGAAAGCCTCATTCTGGTCCTCCACCAGGCACATCGTGGCTGGAAGTAGAATCACCCGAGAAGGAGATGGAAACCCTCCACGTGTCTGTCGGAGTTAGCGTTGTGTGGGTGATCACGAAGGACTACAAGGCGAGTCACGCGGATGTCGTCAACGTGCCGCCGTAAAAACATCTCAATGTCCGTGTGGATGTGCGTTCGCAGGTGTGGTTCAGGCGGGGCGTCAATTCGCACAATCCCTGCGGGTCGGGATGGATCAGCATCGTCGGCGAGATGATGATGCTTGACGTGGGGCTCAACGACCAGGTGACTTGTTTCTTGCGTCATCACAGCTGCGGAGTCGGCATTCACTTCATTCAATGTTCGTCAAACATATTTCCACACTCGCTGCTCACAGTGTTGGGCACACCTGCATGATTTACTTTTATCGACTGCCGTGAACGGGTCATTAAAATGACAAAACCTCTTGTGAGTCAAGACGTGTGCACCATTTTATGTATACACTCTGCATAGCCATAGACTGTATTTTTGTTTGTTTCCAACTTATTTGTTGTTGTTTTTTTTTTTTGTCATGTTATATGTACATAGCACGCCTTTGTATACAAAACGTATACATTTAGCAACCTGGGTGACTCGCGCTTTATATATAAGTACCATTCCAATGTTCAACCTGTGCAGTGGTTCACAATATTTCATAGATTTCAGGAATTAAACCACTCCCTTGTTTTTGATGAGAATTTTGTCCTACTACCTGCTCTCTTTAAATGTCGGTCATGATAGTGGTACTTAGTGGGTGAAGTATTTTTAATTTTTTTTTTTTTTTAGCTGATAGTCGGTGTCAAAAATTTGAGAACCACTGTTCGACACTATGAAATAAGACTGGCTCGGCCCTCTTCTCGGATCCCTTGACATGATTAGCGAGAACGAGGCTGGGCTTGCTGCCGAGATGCTTTTACGCTGAGGACTTTGCTAGCGTTGCAAAGCCACATCTCGCTCCGCCTGCCTTCAGTCTCAGGATATCCCACCTCACCCCCACGGGTCCCTGTGGTTCCTGCGGCTGTCCGGTAACACGAGCGCAGGAGGCCTTTCCCGCACCAGCACCTCCAGGCCAGCCTTATATATATATATATATCCACCAGACTATATTCCCACCGGTCTGACCTATGGGACGCTCCCTAATTAGATCGTCATCATATCCCATATTTCATATTTCAGGGCTGCATTTAAAGGCGGAGCTTGTGTGAGCCCTGCGCCAGTGTTGCAATATAGTACCTTATAAAGTCACAGATGCTTCTTGTGTCTTGCTAGTGAGTTTGTTGAATACAGTACCGGAAGGCTTTTTTTTGTCATTTCTCTGCCTTGAATTTAAATATCCAGTGAAGCTTTTTTGTGTCAAAGCATTTTCATCAGTGTGTTATAAAACCCAGAGCCCACCGGAATTTAGGTTGCGGTGTAAATTCTAAATACAACAAGTTTTAAGACATTTTGTACTGTTTTGGTGTCAGGTTTGGGCTGTCGGTGAGGACCGCGGTCTGTATTTCCGAATTGGGGTGACGCCATCCGAACCAAGTGGGAATGGCTGGATCCCCGTTTCTGCCGAGTGGGGCAACAGTAAAGAGAATGTCCCACCCAGGTCTGTATGCATATTTAATGGAGACATTGAACATGGTACAATCAGTATTATTTTGATGAACATAAAATTCCAAGTGGATGGCGAGATGGACATGAAATGATGATTGAGTCCTCTCAACTTCGCCTAGCAACGTGGCCAATTTTTTTTTCACTGGCCTGTGGTGCGGTTATGGCCGAGCATGATGAATTCTGCCTAGTAACAAAGTGGCTCTTTTTTTATTCTCATGCCTGTGGAGCAGTTATGTTTTATCTTGATAAGGTCCACGCAACCGCGAGTCGGTCATTTTTCATTGGCCTCTGAAGGCTTGAGCACGAGAAACTCTTGCCTTGCAACAAGTGACTTATTGTCCACAGGCATTTAGGATTGAGTCCTATAAATTCGGGTGGAGCAACAAGTTTTTTATTTTTATTTTTTGGGACAATGAAGGCTTGAGCCCTCGCGAATCTGTCAAGGAACTTTTTTTTTTTCCCCTCCCCATCAGTCTTACTGTCACCACCAATTCTAGCCACGTTATCTTTCTATGAACAGTAGACTTTTTTTTTTTTTGGCAGGAAAAAAAACACTCTCTGGCACTCAAACAAATATTTATAAATCTGTGTACATTGCCTCCTTTTGTGCCCTCCCTGACTTATATTTTGTTCTCAAAAGGGGCGGCCTCAAGTCGAGTAGCCAGCTGAAAGAAGCCTCCCAAGGCTCAGTGCTGAGCTGCACCGACTCCGATTCAGAGTTAGGCCCGAGTGACCCATCAAACAGCACAAATGACACCCCAGTCCTGGAAGCAGCTGCCCCTTCGGTGGTCCCCTTAGGAGGAGCACCTATCGTCCCTGTAGATACTCAAGATGCTCCCACACCACCTAAATCCTTAATCCCCGCAAGCGACAGCTTCATCAACAGCCTGGTTTCGGACCGTGACAAAACCTCCACAAACCAACAGTCCGGCTTACAGATTGAGGAGGAGGGTCAGTTCTCCCCAGCGCAGATCCTCATGAGCCCAGAGGCCTCTGGACCCGGGGCCCCTTGGAGTAACGTGGACCTCGAAAGCGCGGAGGTGGCTCGAAGCACGCAAGCAGAAGGGCCTCACTTGCGCAATGGCAGCGCCCCTTACGGCATGGGTCTGGAGGGTGCACAAGGTGTCGGGGATGAGGACGGTCCCGTGTGGGCCTGGATCTCAGGAGGGGGGTGCAACGTGGACGCTGCTTCGCAAGTCAGCTGGCTCAGTGCTACAGGTACCAGGAAAACTTGTTTGGAATGACTGTGGTGTCTTGACTGACTTATTATTTTTTTCTGTGACTGTTACACTGCCCCCAAGTGGCCACGGGAGGCACAACCAAATGTTCAGTTAAAATGTAGCAAAAACATTTCTTAATTTCTTCACATTCTGTTTCATTAGGTCATTTTAAATCTTTTAATGAAGGCGAGTTTTGGTAGCTGAATAAAAAATTTTATAAGACCGTGTTTTGGAATCAATTAATCATCATATTTCTTAATTGTGATTTCATTACCAATCAAGAGTAATCGTGATCATAATTTTTCTTATTAATTGCCCAGTCCTACGATCTCAGTATGAAGTGACTTTTCAGGCGTCCTGTACATACAGTTATCAAACATGATCAGAATAGAAAAATGACGCTCAAAGCATGAACCACTTTATCATAAGCACTCACCTTTCATAAGTGTATATAAGTCCACTTTGTGTACCTTGTACTCAAATTTGTGCGTGTGTGTGCATGTGTGCGCACGTGTGCCAGGCCCACTGGTCAGCTCTTTGTCACTGACCCCAGTGCAGTCTTCAGTATGGAGCGATCAGCAGCACAGAGAAGAAATCAGCAAGAAACCTCTGGAAAGAAGCAATGTATGGCTATTTGTAATTTTTTTTTTTTTTTGCTCAGCCTACGTGTATACCGGTGTGTTACTCGGCGTGTGTATCCTTTCAACAGTCCATCTGGGTGCGTAAAGGCACGCTATGTTGGTGGAGGGACTGGAAGCCGCATCGGTGGGTGGACGTGGCCGTGGCTCTGGAGCAGTCCACCAAGTCAGACGGGGGGAAGGACAGCATCTTCTTCGTTTACTACACACGTTATGATGAGAAAAAGGTCAGTGTATAAAATATATATTTTCTTTTGTGGATCAACATATTCCATTTCGTCATGGGCAAGTTCCTCACAATGAAATGCAAGGGCAATTGAGTACGCGTAAAAATGTGATGCGGTGAGGTGAAGGGAAACCGTAACTGTGAGGTGGCCTCCAATGTAAATGAGTTTCACACCCCTGACCTGATTTTGACCTGGTGTCCCAAGACTTGAGTACTCCACTCCAAAGTCAACCCTCCCACTCACGCTCTATCTTGCAGTACCTTCACATCTTCATCAATGAAGTGACAGCACTGGTTCCAGTGTTGCGGGACAGCCACTATGCTTTTGCCGTGTACACGGGCCCCAGGACCAGACTGAGGAGTCCCCTGGTCCTGGCGGCCCAAACTGAAAAGGACATGAAAGACTGGGTAAGCCTTGAAGCTGCAGTGTTCGCCGGGTATCGTGACTGGCGCGATTCGCGAAAATTTGTGAGGAATCAGTCCCCTCCTCCCCCTTCCGACCCTTACAAAACAAAATACAAGATGATAAATCATGACATGAAGCTCACTTCAGTTCCACTTAGTTCATTGTCAACCTACGGAATGTTGATTTATGTCATGGTGACGTATTGTTTCTTTGATCCAGCTGAACTTGTTGTCGGATGTTTGCTGCGAGTGCCGCGGAATCGCAACTCCGCCGTCCAGGCAGGCCTTGTGGTCCACAACGTCCAAAGGGGACATTTTTGTCCACGAGCCGTCCTTTTCCCTGGAGGCGCCCGCTCACACGCTGTCATGTGACCTCATGTGAGACCGACAACATCACCGCTTTTCAAAAAATTCTGCTTCGGTTAACGCTAACAGACTAACGCGTTTCTTCCCTATTGCCATGCCGCTCTTAACGCACTAACCCTCGTCGCCTCCACTGTGTGGCACTGCAGGTTCTGGCGGCAGGTGCCCGGCCACCTTCGCTGTGTAGAGTCTAACAGTCTGGGGCTGGTGTGGGGCATCGGGTGGGATGGCACGGCCTGGGTGTACAGTGGGGGCTCCGGACGGCAGGCTAACTCTGGTAAAAACACTATGCGGCACACTGTCTTGTAATATTTACGCAAAGTGTGCGGCACGCAGTCTTGTAATATTTTTTTTACATGGATGACATTAGGAGTAAGTCGTATCACTCCAAAAAATGCAACATGAATAGAAAATAAAACAACATAAGAATGGCTAGCTAATAAAAATAAAAGATTGTTTGTTTATTAACTAGGTGGCCCGTTGATCGAGTGGTTAGCGCGTTGACCTCACAGTGCAGAGGTTCAATTCCAGCTCCGGCCTCCCCGTGTGGAGTTTTTGTGTTCTCCCCGGGCCCGTGTGGGTTTTCTCCGGGTACTCCGGTTTCCTCCCACATTCTAAAAACGCATGGCAGGCTGATTGAACATTCTAAATTGTCCCTAGGTGTGAGTGTGAGCGCAAATGGTGGTCTCTGTGTGCCCTGCGATTGGCTGGCAACCGGTTCAGGGTGTCCCCCGCCTACTGCCCGAAGACAGCTGGCATAGTCTACAGCACCCTACACGACCCTTGTGAGGATAAAGCGGATCGGAAAATGGATGGATGGATGTTTAACTGGATTTACAAATGACGTAGCCTGTCTGTCCATTTTAAAAGGCAGTAAAAAAAAAAATCCTTGAATTCTTGAAAAATGTTGCCCTCACTCGACAAGTTACTAATAACTAGTCGCTTTGTTGCGTGAAAACAACTCGCTTACGGGCAATGAACGTTTTATTTTTTTATTTTTTGCTCCGATGGCAGCAGATGCAGGCCACGCGTACCAGCAGACTGACGTCAGGAGCGTGCACGTGTATGAAAATCAAAGATGGAACCCCGTGACAGGCTACACGGACAGGTAGGAGCATGACAAACTAAACAAACGTGACCCATTTAGCCTGATTGTATTTTTTTTTTGTTTGTTTGTTTTTGTTTTTCTGCCAGAGGACTTCCCACTGACCGCCCCATGTGGAGTGATGAGAGCGGACTGAGGGAGTGCACCAAAGGCAACACACAGCCGCCCTCCCCTCAATGGGCATGGGTAAGAGGGGATTCTCTCTAAATGTCAATTTTATATTTAATATTGAGCAGTAATTCAATCTGATGGACTAACTGTTTCGGCTTACCCTGTGTCTCGGTCTAGTATGTCTTTTCCACCCTAATAGCAGTTATGATTGAGCCATATAAACTCTGCCTAGCAATGTGTGTTTTTTTTGTTTGTTTTTTTGTAACCATGGGAAAGTTGTTTGACTCTTAGCAACAATTCGCCATGTTTAGGCGAACCGTATAAAATCCAACAATTAAAAAAATATATATATATATATGCTTAAACAGTGGGACAGCTATGATTCATCCTCACAATTCTGCCGATCAACTAGTAGTCCTTTTTTTATAGGCCGATGATTCAGGTTTGAGGCCTTTGAACTCTGCCTAGCAGCATGCGGCCATTTTCTAGATTGTGTTCGATTAGCAATTCTGAATGAGCCTGGTAGACTCTGCCCAGCAACATATTTTTTTATTGGCCTATGGGGCAATTATTTTTATTGAGCCTTATAAATCATGGCTAGGAACAAGTGGCCATTTTTTTTCACTGCTCTATGGTCTAGTTATGATTAAGTCTGGTTACTCTGCCTAGCAACAAGTGGCGCATGAACCTGATTTTGCAGTCATATTGTCGCCAGCATTTTTCCATTTCAAAACATCGCTTGGCGCCATTTAAATTGGGACATTTTATGCTTGAAATGTGTTGATCGATCGTCCACCTTTCAAGTGTTGCCCCACTTTGTTCCAGGTGTCCGAGTGGGCTGTGGACCACAGTGTTCCCGGTGGGACGGACAAGGAGGGATGGCAGTATGCTGCCGACTTTCCCGTGTACGTAGCTATTATTGCCTCAGTCTCAGAATGTGCATCCTGTTAGACATTAATTAGTCGTCTCACTTACAAAATGTGAATCCAGATGTTTATTTGCTGTCAAAGTCTGCTCAGACTGGGTCCAAATGGGGCAATGACCCACTACATCGAATTGATCGAAGCCGAAATTGAGAAAACGTATTGCGGGTTGCACTCCGCAGCTACTTTTTGCCGTGATTACTGCCACCTACAGGACTGGAGTTGAACAGTCACTCAAAAATGTTTCTAGGAAACCAGTAAATTGATTAAAATATTTTTCTATATTTCTTGTAGAACATTTCATGGCCACAAAACACTGAAGGATTTTGTTCGGCGAAGGCGTTGGACAAGGTAACTGTGCCCGGCTCCACACACACACACACACACACACACACACACACACACACTTTGCTGTTTTGTAGATCCCAAACTATATGCAAACATTTTGGTTGTGTGTCCAGAAAGTGTAAGATCACACTGAGGGGTCCGTGGCAGCCGGTCCCGCCCATCCCCTTGAGCGACATCTCCCTGATGTCGTGCCTGGCCCACAGCAGCATGGAGCAGGTCCCCCTTTGGGCCCTCAGCGACAAGGGGGACGTGCTGTGCCGGCTGGGTGTCACCCCACAAAACCCAGCGGTGAGCACGTGTCCACTTTGTTTGCGCAATGTTCCCGCGCTATTCACAGGGGATGAGGACAGAGCCCTGCCAAGAATTATGAACAGGGTTAATATTGCCCAGAGATAGCGGCAAAGCTAACTTCAACATAGTTCCTTAGCACGGTGCACTTGTAACAGTGGTGTCTCAAGATTGTCATTTTCTTTTTTTTTTTAATTCCTTGGTGCCTTCGACTTATTCCAGGGCAGCTCATGGCTTCATGTCGGCACCGACCAGCCCTTCAAGTCCATCTCCATCGGCGGAGCCAGCCAGGTGTGGGCCATCGCCAAGGATGGAGCCGTCTTCTACAGGGGCTCCGTGTCCCCACAAAACCCTGCAGGTCAACCTCCAAAAATGACTCATTTGAATATGTTTGAATAGTACTCTACTTGCACCAACTTTCAGAACAAAGATGTTCTGTTTTCAGGCCCACTGTGGGGGGGGAAAAAAAAATCAATTATGATTATATTGAAATTAGTTGTGCTGCCCCCCACAGGAGAATGCTGGTACCACATCCCCTCTCCATCCCGCCAGACCTTGAGACAATTGTCCGTGGGCCGTACGTCCGTGTTTGCAGTGGATGAAAACGGTAAGTACCAATCGGAATAATGTGAATTTCAAGACTTAAAAAAAATATATCAAAACGCTAAGAATAACATCCGTCCCGACGGATGAACGCAGGGAATTTGTGGTACAGACAAGGCCTGACCCCGAGCTACCCCCAAGGCTCTGCTTGGGAGGTCATCTCCAATAATGCCACCAAAGTCTCGGTGGGACCACTGGACCAGGCCAGTACTACTGCACTCATCATTGCTGCTGGAAATGCGTGCCACGTCCTGAGCATTTTGTTTTTTTTTTTTTTTTTAGGTATGGATGATAGCAGACGGAATGGCAGGCTTCCCCGCAGAGACTCCAGGGACCGTTTGTCACAGGCTGGGGGTGGGACCCATGCAGCCGAAAGGTCAACTGTGGGACTACGGCATTGGGGTGAGTCATTACGTCGCGCGTCTCCCAGCCAGAAGTGCTGTGAGACATCCAAAGGTGTGCTCCCGGAAAGGATGCTGTTTGCCTTTTGTGGATGTATATGGACTTTGCTCCATATTAGTGCTCAGAATCAACTCCTTCACATTCTGACTAATCTTTCAAGGCTCACAGAATATTGTGTTTTCAGGTTACACTCGTTTTTTTCAACCACATTCCATGTTTTGGTTCTCAGCAGTACAACATGGGCTCGTTTCACCCATTTTGAACCAAAAAGCTTTTTTTGATGCAAGTAATTTTTGCCTCAAACATCTGAACAGGCCTTTACTTCAATAAAATACCAACAGCAACGATTAAAATGTGATTTTTTAAAAAATTTTTGATGGCAAAATAATGCATTTACAATGAAACGCCAGTGTAACTATTTTGCATTTGGCAAACTTTACAATTTTACAATTATGTCATTTTACAGTAGGAGTAGTAGTAGTAGTACAAGTGTGTGCATGTGTGTGTATGTACAATATGTACATGATATCATTGCTTTGATTTCAATACTTAAATCATCTCCACGTCATCTTTTCCGTCTTTTGTGACACTTTGTAGTCTATTTAACTTGACCAACACTTTGGTTCACAATCTGCTTCTAACATTTTTGATACACTGTGATGTCATCCAAAAGAGACTCATTGCTGCTTCCTGTAGTTAGTTTTTTTTTTTAACTTTCCCAGATTAATGATTAAACCAGAGTTTTCCGCCTCTCCCAGGGAGGATGGGAGCACATCAGCGTGCGGGCCAACTCGGTGGAGGCCCCCCGCACGCAACACCCGCTGTCCACTGCACCACCGCCGCCGTCGCCACGGAGGCCGCTCCCCCCGCGGGCCAACGGGGCCGCCGTGGGTGTGTAAATGCGTCCTTCTCTCCCTCCCTCTTCTTCCTCTCGTTTGTGCCTGGATCCACTTTGAGAACATAAGCGCCACAAACACAAATGCACAATCATCATCATCTTCTGTGTTGGGAATCACTCGCGAGCCACTAGTGAGTCGGCCATTTGTCGGCCCTCGATATGCCGCACATGCATCTTGAATTGCAGTTGAACAATGATGGTGACTAGAAAAGCACTATATCCCATGATGCATTGCGCTGAAATGATGTCCCACTTAAGGTCCATGTACTAGTATGCTATTTGTCCTCACTTATAAGTCAATTCAGTGGAAAAGTAGACCTCGACCCCTGGTAGAGTGACTCTGACTTGGCGTTCACGTTTTTCTTAAACTACGCTACTGTCACTTTTGTGTAACACTAGTAGTCTACTAGTAACACTAGTAGTGCTAGTAGTTTTGCCTCACTCGTAACATAATTGCCCTAATGTTATACCTGCCTGTATAAGTTGTTTTGTGCCGAAATATTAGTCAGTAGTGGAAATAAAAATCTTAGCCCTAAGAGTCTACTTGTGTGCTGAATTTTCTTAGTAGTGAGGAGAAAGAGCTACTGGGCAACCTTGGCATACTAGTAGACTTTTACATGCCACTAAATGAGGTAAAACTGTGCACTAGTTGACAACTATGTGCTACTAGTACTGCCATTGACATGATATAGTTCTGCTAGTTAACCTCTAGCAGTTCACTAGCTGTACTAGTTGAGTGCAGCTCGTCAAGTTGGCAGAGTGCCCAACCCCCACCCGACCCCCCCAGTTGTTCTACTAGTGCGCTTTATTATGTCCGAGGACAAAGAGCGTATTAGTACACAGACCTTAAACTGGACATCAAAAATATTGAATCAATGCTCAAACTGTTTTGAAACTGTTTGATGATTTAATATTCTTGATGGTTCTTGTACTAGTGGAAACATGTTTTACTAGCAAGTACGATGAAGTCATTCAGGAATGAGTGAATGATTCCAAAACATGTATTTGGATGACGAAGCGAAGGGGGGAGCGATTTGGGGGAATGATCCAAACTATTTTGCATGTTAGCGTCTTTTTCTGCATTTTTGACAGCGGCTTGAATTCAAATGCAAAAAAAAAAAAAAAATCCTGTCAGCATTGATCAGGGTAAGGGCTAAGAGAAACAAAACATCCCAAACGGTCTTTTCGGTTGATTGTCTTGGTGTCTTGCCATTTATCATGCATGTTATTTATTTTATTATTATTTATGTATGTGCTTGTCTGATGTGCTTTTTGGACCTGTTTGTAACACTTTTGTGGTGCCCCCCCAAGGAAAAAAAAGTCATAAAGTGACATGATGAGAGTGTATATACGGAGGAATGATGGGATGGACCTACCTTCCTGAACTGTGCAATAATAATTCTAATAATTCTATGAAGATCTTCCTGTTAGCATCAAATGCTTCAAAGACGTGGGTGCGTTATTTGAGAGAATATCAAATAAAAAGGACTAAACAAAAGCTGTTGTGTATGTTTTATTTATTTATTTTTTTTTTGATACTTGATACTCACACGGCGCAAGTCGCATTTTCACCATTCTCGTGGCGACGAAATCGGTTAGTCACTTGAAAACAATGGAAATGTACTGGGAATGTGTTGTTGGCAGTGCTGCCACCTAGTGGTGGTTTTATGATATTGCTGAACTGATAGCTTGGTTCAAATGACTGACCTGAAAACAGTCATTGCTGTATACTGAAAGCCGCACATGGAGTCTGGAGGTTTTGGGTATAGTAAGCCGTTTTTTGCCGAAAAAAACGACCACGTATTGGAAGGCATTTTTTTCGAAAAAAATGACCATGTATATCAAGGCGTTTTTTTCCGAAAAAAAACCCATCATGTATTGTAAGGCGTTTTTAGCCCCCAAAAAACGACCATGTGTAGTCAGGTGTTTTTAGCCCAAAAAAAACGACCATGTATGTAAGGCGTTTTGAGCCCCAAATAAACGACCATGTATAGTAAGGCGTTTTTAGCCCCCCCCCAAAAAACGACCATGTATTGAAAGGCGTTTTTAGCCGAAAAGAACGACCATGTATGGAAGGCGTATTGAGCCCCAAATAAACGACCATGTACAGTAAGGCGTTTTTAGCCGAAAAAACGACCATGTATAGTAAGGCGTTTTTAACCCGCAAAAACGGCCATGTATGATCAGGCGTTTTTAGCCCCAAAAAAACGGACAATGTTTTGTAAGGCGTTTTTAGCCCCCAAAAAATGACCATGTATAGTAAGGCGTTTTTAGCCCCAAAAAAACGACCATGTATAGTAAGGCGTTTTCAGCCCCCAAAAAATGACCGTGTAGAGTGAAGTGTTTTTAACCGAAAAAACAACCATGTATATATAGTAAGGTGTTTTTAACCACAAAAAACCGACCATGTATCGTAAGGTGTTTTTAAACAAAAAAACGATCATGTATAGTAAGGCGTTTTTTGCCGAAAAAAACGACCATGTATAATCAGGCGTTTTTGGCCGAAAAAAACGACCATGTATAGTAAGGCGTTTTTAGGCGAAAAAAAAAGACCATGTATAGTCAGGCGTTTTTAGCCAAAAAAAACGACCATGTATAGTAAGACGTTTTTGGCCCCAAGGAACGACCACGTATAGTAAGGTGTTTTTAAACAAAAAAAACGACCATTATTAGTAAGGCGTTTTAACCCGAAAAAAACGACCATGTATAGTAAGACATTTTTGGCCCAAAGAAACGACCACGTATAGTAAGGCGTTTTTGGCTGAAAAAAACGACCATGTATAGTAAGCCGTTTTTAGCCAAAAATAACGACAATGTCTCGTAGGTGTTTGGGGCCAATAAAAAACGACCATGTATAGTAAGACGTTTTTGGCCCCAAGGAACGACCACGTATAGTAAGGTGTTTTTAACCACAAAAAACCGACCATGTAGAGTAAGGTGTTTTTAAACAAAAAAACGACCATTTATAGTAAGGCGTTTTTTTAGCCCAAAAAAACGACCATTTATAGTAAGGCGTTTTTAGCCGAAAAAAACGACTATGTATAGTAAGACGTTTTTGGCCCCAAGGAACGACCACGTATAGTAAGGCGTTTTGGGCCCAAAAAAACGACCATGTATCGTAAGGCATTTTTAGCCGAAAAAAACGACCATTATTAGTAAGGCGTTTTAACCCGAAAAAAAAGACCATATATCGTAAGGCGTTTTTGGCCGAAAACAACAACCATATATCGTAAGGCGTTTTTAGCCGAAAAAAACGACCATGTATAGTAAGACGTTTTTGGCCCCAAGGAACGACCACGTATAGTAAGGTGTTTTGGGCCCAAAAAAACGACCATGTATCGTAAGGCGTTTTTGACCCAAAGGAACGACCACATATAGTAAGGCGTTTTTGACTGAAAAAAACGACCATGTATAGTAAGGCGTTTTGGGCCCAAAAAAACGACCATGTATCGTAAGGCGTTTTTGACCCAAAGGAACGACCACATATAGTAAGGCGTTTTTGACTGAAAAAAACGACCATGTATAGTAAGCCGTTTTTAGCCAAAAATAACGACAATGTCTCGTAGGTGTTTGGGGCCAATAAAAAACGACCATGTATAGTAAGGCGTTTTTAGCCCAAAAAAACGACCATGTATAGTAAGGCATTTTTAGCCCCAAAAAATAACCATGTATAGTAAAGTGTTTTTTTACCGAAAAAAACGACCATGTATAGTCAGAGGTTTTTAGCCCCCAAAAAACCGACTATGTATCGTAAGGCGTTTTTCGCCCCCAAAAAATGACCATGGATAGTAAAGTGTTTTTAACCGAAAAAATGACCATGTATATATAGTAAGGTGTTTTTAGCTGAAAAAAATGACCATGTAGAGTACGCGTTTTTACCCACCAAAAAACGACCATGTATAGTAAGGCGTTTGTAGCCAAATCCATCTCTCTGCCTTCCTCTGCGAAATTTGCCTGGAAAGCTTTTTTGAGCGAATATGTACATGAAGACCTTTTTGGGTGGGTCCTGAAGAGATCAGTAGACCAGTGCCACCCTAGTCGACTGGTTAGTGCGTCGGCTTAACAACGCAGAGGTGCAGGGTTCAAATCCAGGTCTCGGCCATCATCTGCAGAGTTTGCATGTGTAGTAAGGCTTTCTCGAATGACCATGTATCGTTAGGCGGTTTTTGCCGAAAAAAAAACGCCCATGGAGAGTAAGACGTTTTTAGCCCCAAAAGAACGACCATGAATATAGTCATAAAATTTTTCGCCCAATCCAGCTCTCCGCCTTCCTCTGCGAAGTTTGCATGGAAAGCATTTTTGAACAATGTATATGAAGAACTTTTTGGGTGGGTCCTGATGAGCTCAGGCGAGCAGCACCGCCATGGTGGACTGGCTCATGCGTCGGCTTAACAGCGCAGAGGTCCAGGGTTCAAATGCAGGTCTCGGCCATTGTCTGCAGAGTTTGCATATATAGTAAGGCTTTTTCTAATGACCATGTATCGTAAGGTGTTTTTTGCTGGAATAAAAACGACCATGTATTTTAGGGGTTCAAAGTTGAGGGTGAAACTGGGATTAGTGGTGCAAATTAAGGGTTAAAAGTAAGGTTAGGTTTTCAAAGTCGGGTTTCAAACAAGGCTTCGGGTTTCAAAGTAGAGTTTAAAATTGGGGGTTTAAACTCGGTTTATGTTAAAATTAAGTTTCAAAGTCAAATTTCAAACTCAAGAATTACCTTGCAATTTTAATAAATTCAGGCTTGCAAACTTCATATTTATTCTTATAAAATATATTTTCATGAAATTATTTCTGATGCACATTTGTATCATATTAGTTTACATAAATAGTACGTATCAGTGCTTAGATGAATAGAATGTAATCCCTGTGGCTTTGTCGAACTATATTGTTTTTCATCGCCACCTCATTAAAGCCATCAATCGTGCTCAGATGACACATGACAGAGAGCCTTCTGAGAAGTTCCTTTGCATTTATTTTCATAGTAAACAGTGTAATTATAAACATCTCATTCAATGACACGAACGCATGATCAATGTGAAGTAAAAATATCACCACTTTTAAAATGGACACGTTTCAACAACAGCGCGATTGGATTCCATCGTTGTCATCGTCGTGATTGGCTTGGAAAATCAGCTGCCCCTACGAGACGTTCACGCAACCAAACCTCGTCCCCCACCGAAATCAGCAACACTTCCACACTGGGCTCCAGCGGCTCTTTGCCATGTCAGTTACATTTTGTCAAATGTGCAAGATGAAGCTCACGTCGTCGGTGACGACTCTTGTCCGCTCAAAGTTTAAATAAACCTTCAAGTTTGGATGCGGGGGCGCACGTGCCGCCGCTTTCAACCAAAAGGTCAGGGGGTCAGGCTGGGAGAGGGTCAACACAAAACTGGAGGTCAAAACGAGGCGATAAGGGCGACGTAACCCCATCGAATCCTTTACAATGCCTGATTTCATTCTCACACACACACACGCGCGCGCACACACGCACTCTGACATACACATGCAGACTCGCGCACGCATGACACACACACTCAAACAAACTCTCACACACACACGACACACTCAGCCAGACAAAAGGACATACAACACACTGACACGTTCACATCTGAGGTTTTTTTTGGGTATGAAAATAAAATTAAATACAAAATTGATTGGGAGTGGGGGTTGGGGGGGGGGAGTAAAAGCAAGTCAAGGGAAAAAAAAAAACTAAATCAGGGGGGAATCAAGCCAAACCAGGGATAAAATAATCTCTGTGGAATCACAATAAGAAGGAAATCAAATGTCATTCCAAAAAAAAAAGAAAAAAAAGAAATGAAGGCAAGGGAAAGACTAGTGTTGTGTTGATTTTGATTCTGTTCCTTTCCCCTTGCGCTTCGCAACGTCAGTTTGTACCTCAACCATCTACACCAATCAGTAGAAAGTCATTGCACGTTTTTTCTGTGGTCATTTTTTTGTTTGGTTGTTTTTGTTTTTTTTTTTTTTTTTTTTTACAAACTTCAAACATCTGCATTGGGTCGTTTAAAAATAAAATTTGGTAGTGCCACGAACCCACGCGAGCAGCCTTTTTTTCCCACCCCCCCCTTCAGATATCTCAAGAGGGCCATTTACAAAACTAATGTCAGTGTTTGTCACGACTCAAAATCAGTTGAGCTCACGTCATGGATATGATCTAAAACAACAACAAAGGGCAAGAGGGTAAAGAAGACAGAATACTAGTGCGCGGCCCTTAAAACCGTTTGAGCATTTAGGCCATATGTTTAATATCCAGTGCACTGGTACCTTCATTGTCCTCACTAGTACATTTCAGTGCACGAGTAAAACAACTCGGGCCCCCTGATAGAACAACTGTCTTGTTGTTGGTGGGGGAGGGGTGATACCGCCTGCGCTGCACTAGTAACACAGCTTGGCCAATGTCACACACGAGCCTCCACAAGCCTCCTGGACCTTATTTAGTAGCACCAAATTTCCCCCTTGCAGTTTTGCCTCACTAGTACAACATCCTCTGAGCATGTCAGAGTTGCAATGCTTGGGGGTGGGGAGAAGAAAAAAAAAAGTACACTAGTACATGGACTTTTAAGCTTTCACTAGTAGCACAAAGTTGTCAACTAGCTTTGCCTCACCAGTAATTTGTAGTTGTTGTACTAGGACGCTAAAAGTTGTCCCACAAACTTTTTGTCACTAGTAAGACACCTCAACTCAGTCGTAGATTCACAAGAGCACACTAGTATCTCGAACGACATGTTACCAGTGATGCAAAAATGCTCTAGTGGAACGTTTTTTTTTTTTTACTAGCAATGCGTTTTCCACTCAAGTATGACTAAGATGAATTGTACTCGTGAGGACAAAGCGCGTACTTGTCTTGTATCTGGACCTTAAGGTGTCTTTTAAAGCCACTTGAGCATTTAATCCGTATCCTTGATATTCACCTTAAGGTCTAGGTACCAGTGAGGGGAAAAAAAAAGTTACTCATCGGACACTAGTTTTATCGACATAGCCTTGAAGCATAGAGGCTACAGAAGAGTTTTTCCCACAGAGGAGGAGATCGTGAACATGAATACAAAGCCAAACAAAAAAAATCAAGATCACAAAAAGAGAATGGCCGATGGCAGTGACTATGAAAAAAAAAAAAAACAACTGGAAATCACAAGGTCCAGATGGATTCCAAGAGAATATTCCTATTTGGCTGTAGTGTCACAATTCACCCCCCAAACTTTTTTTTTTCTCTGGGGGGGTGACATTGTGGTTATTGGAAAAAGCAGGAAGTAGCCAAGCGCTCAACGCACTCCATGATGTCCTGCTTCGGCCCATTCGCCTCCCCCAAAAAGTGGGATTTTGCACATTCACGTGGAGCGCTTGAGAATCGACGTCCTCGTCAGGACCACCACCACTTTCTCCAGTTCTGGATCCGATCCGGTAAAAAGTGCAAGTGTTTGATAGTGTGATAACTAGTGGAGTGCCTTGAATCCGAAGGCTAGTCTTTTTCACCGTCCTCACTGCTTCCTAAACGGTACACCAAAAAAAAAAGACCGTCAAAGATGGTGCTTCCGAAAATATACACCCAAAGTCACCCAAAACGGCCAATATCCCAAAGTTCTTCAGAGCGTGTTGTCAACTGACCTCCTTGTTCGATGTCGGAATCGGTGAGGTGCGTCAGGGAGAAGCTGGCGATGCTGGCCGGTGAGATGGAGAAGCGGGAGTAGTTCGAGGAGCTTCCCCAGCTGGATGCCGCCGCGACGGCCGGGGACGCCGCCGAGCTCTTTGATGCCGCCGCCGCGTCTTTGGAGGGGAAGGCGGGCGCCGAGGGGAAGTCGTCGTCCCACTCAAAACCGCCGCCTGAAGGTGGGAGGAAACGGCCGGGTGAGCGTGCGGAGGAGGGTCACGCGCGTGCGGAAACGTTTACCTTCTTCATCTGTGGAGCTCTCGGAGTTGGTGAAGCGGTTCAAGTAGCTGGAACTTGGCGCCGGGCTGCTAAACTGGGGTGTGTGCAAATTGGAGCCGGAGGAGTGGTCGCCCAGTTCCTTAGTGGGGGTGTCCTGAATCAAAAAACAGATTTGAGTTAGGATGATGTTTCAAAAAAAAACTAAAAAATGTAGTGGAGGAGTCATGGTCATACAATGTACACCCATGGGTAGTCAAGTCCAGTCCTACAGAGCCCCTATCCAGCTGGTTTAACACGTTTCCCTCCTTCAGCACACCTTGTTTCACATGATCAGCTCATCAGCAAGCTTTGCAGACGGCTGACAACGATCCTGATCATTTCAATCAGGTGTGTTGGAGGAAGGCGATATCTCGAAAAAGGCTAGAGGGTGTCTCTCGAGGACCGGACTTGGCGATGCCGGATGTACGCAGATGTCTTGGGTCTTTCAAGAAGGTGAAGCAAGATTCTGCTGATTACTAATGCTTATTTGGAAGGTACTTTTCAGAGTAACTCAAAACAATTTTACAGTGGTTCTACAAAGTCTACACACCCTCTTCAAACTTCATGATCTGATTTTTTTTTTTTTTTTTAAATCAGACATTGGACATGAACTTTTTAACATAGCCAGTGTTAAGGCTGGCAAAAAAAACAACAACAACAAAAAAAACAGAAAAGCCTACTAGAACATACGAGCTTCTTTTGGGACTAATCCGAGCCCTTTGAATGGTATTTGTCTGGCACCCTTTGGACATGAACTTTTTAACACAGCCACAGTGTTAAGGCTGGCATTTTGGGGGGAGCTAAGCATGGACTAAAAGAGACCAAAACTTACCTGGTCAAAGAGGTAGACGGTGACATCATCAAAGAAGGACACGGCTCTCCTGGTGGTCGTGGCCGAGGGGGACGAAAGCTCAGTGTTGAGGCTGGCCAGTTTCAACAAGCTCCTCAGGTTCTTGACATTGCTGTCGTCTGAGATGATGAGCGGCACGACGTGCGGGCCTTCGTCCTCGCTGTCGGAGCCGGAGCTGTGTAGCTGGTAGGTGCGAACGTCGTCGTCCGAGTCGTCGCTGTTTTCGTTCTCCTCGTCTGCGTCCATACCATCCTCCGGGCCGTCCCGCCGGCCCAGGTAACGGCCCTCCACGTCGGGCTCTTTTATCTTGTGGGCCTCCCCGGTGTAGGTCCTGGTTAACTTGGCGTGAACGGTGTCCTCAGCTGATGGGAGCGGACTAGTGGGGGAAGGCCGATCTGGCTCAGGAGACTCAAGTAGGTCGTTGAAAAAGTTTGATCTGTCTCCGTCGTGATTGGGCCAGCTTAAAGGTTCTGGTACTTTCTCACTGACATCAAAATGGATCTCTGGAGATGGATCTGGTTCTCCTCCAACGTCACCCTGCGCTTCAAGGGCAGCAGAACCTTCTTCCTGTGGTATTAAAGACTCTGCAAGACTTTCTGGCAAACATTCCTGTACCGGGACCGGAACTTTGGAAGAGTTCTGCGGCAACATGACTTCACCAGAACCTTCTGCTTTTGTTTCTTCGGGTTTCTTTTCCGGCTCCGATTCGTTGTCTGAGAAGTAAGCGGAGTCTCTGTAATTAATGCTAATGAGCGGTTCTTCGACAGGAGCGTCGTCGTCGCAGTTTTCGGCGGGAGCGTCCGATAAGCCCTCGGGTTCAGAGATGACAATTTCCGGAAGAACCAGATTGGTCGAAGAGGTTGTCTCTTCAGTATCGTTTTCCTTTTGAGCTACGCTGTCACCATTTTTCACAGGTGAGAGGTCTTTATCGTCGGGCAGAGAGTTCCACTCAGGAGACTCCAGGTTCTCCGTCTCATACCCACTGTCAGCTATCTTGTATGGAGGCTGGAGCTTGTGCTGGTCTCCGAGCCGGTGAATGTCCAAAGAGTCTAAAGAGTCTGGCGTCTCAGCCGAGTGGTCTGCAGTCGGTAGCGTGGCAGACATGCTGTCCTCGAGCAAACTGTCTTGGCTAATCTGGTCCAACGAAGGCCCGGAGACCAACAGAGAGGATCTCCCGAGAGATGGTCCGTTGGTGTCTGTAAATAATTCTTCCTGGTCAGACAGATTGGTTTCAATTTCGAAATCGGCATCCTCATTGAGTTCACTCAACAGATCGCTGCTTATCAGATCGTCAATGTGTCCGCTGTCTGAAAGCGAGGCTTGGAGATGCAGTTTTTCGGGTATTTGACTTGCCGGGAGTTGTGGAGCGCTCGTGTTTGAGTTGTCGATGTCAAGGTCAAGGCTGGGGAGATTGGCGTCGGTATACGACACCTCTGTGGTGGCGTTTTCAGAGAATGCGGTCATCTGATCCTCCGTCTGACTCCGGAGAACCTCCAATGTCCCCGAGGAAGAATGGAAATCAGAGTCTACGCCTCGGTCTGACGGTTGGAGCAGAGTGAGGTCCTCAGTGGAAGAACGGTTCCTTGCTGGCAGCGGGTTGCTTACGTCGTCTTCTGAGAAAACCGTAATGGAAGGCACCGGTGTTTCAGTTTGGACCCGGAACGGATTATGTACCCCAAAGTTGGTGCTTGATGAGTCTAAAGTCCCTCGTGTTGGGGATGTGCTACTCCATGCGGGTTTTAAATAAGAATCTGCTGTGTTTAAGCTGCCGTGAATGTCCAGGTTTTCCCAAGAAGCCATTTTGAAGTTTTCCTCTGGTTCATGGACAACACCAGGCGATAGAAAATTCAGCTGTGAATTTAGAAACCGTGCGTCTTCTTTCATCAGATCCTGTCCCTTGAGAAATATCACATTCTCTGACAGTTTTTCAGTGTTCAGAAGCCTCTTTGTCTCGGCACTGGCCTCCTCCACAGTCCGGCGAGTGGCTTCGGAACAACCGTTGAAAAAAGAATCCCTTGCATTGACGTCTCGTAAATCCAACGGAGTATTGACGCAAAAAGGGTTCCCGTTGCGATCTGGCAGCTCCACAAAATCCTGTCTCCAAGACACAGAGTCCTCCTGCTTAGACTCTCCCTCGGTGAAAATGTTTGGGTGGTAAGGACTGTCGTTTTCGAGCGATGACCAGATGTGACTGTCAGGCAAATAAGAATCCTTGGAGTCGATACTGTGGTGGAAAAAGTCGGCGTCTGTGCTGGATTCATCCAAACGAACATCTTGAAGAACCACAAAGTCTTGTTGGCTTGAAGTGAAGCCTGTCCGTTGAGCGCCGTCTTCTCCGAGAGGGCTTTCTCCTGCCTGATCCTCAAGTTGGATGTAATACCCGTCCCCGTTAGCAGGCGTCCGGGCATCGAATACCGGCACGATCCCGGGTATTCCGGACAGAGCGTTTCCGCCACCAGTGGCCGCCGATCTGGCGATAGGATCTGGGAAATGAGCGTGGATGTCTTCAGTGGAGACAGGAAAGAACATGCTGTGGTAGTTCACCGTTGTATCCGTGCCTGGGTGCGAATGGCTGCCGTCATAGTGGTCCTGCTTGGCTGCCTCCCAGATGTATTCAAAACTGAGACCTTTGCTCGTTTCGGTCACGGTCAGGACCTCATCGATGTCCTGCTGCAGGGCGTCGTCAGCAAACTGCTCCAGGATGGGGAAGGAGGAGTGGCTCACAGTGGTCTGGCGCGTGGAAACGCTCGGCTTCAGAGCGTCCCAGCGCTGCTCAAAGTCTTCTTCAATGTCCCTTTGGCTTTGCATGCGCAAGTAGATGAGTAAACGGTGAACTTCCTCGGCTGTGGCACGCTTGTCAGGGGAAAGCCAGCAGAACTGCAGGACCTCGTACCTGCACGTTGAAAAAAAATAATCTTAAACAAGATGATGAACGACATCAGCAGCTTGCTACTTTGTCGGTTCATCCTGAAATTTGCCCCAAAAGCTTAAAAACGCCAACCTGTTCAAAGTAGTGTATAGTTTATTCATTGAGAAGAAAAAAAAAAACCTCACCATCTCTCCGAATAAGGAAGCTCCAGTTGCGGCTTGAAGAGTTTGACTTGTTGCTCCTTGATCACATGATTGAGAACCTCCCGGTCAGATAGATGCGGATATGGTTGACCAGCGTTCTCGAAAAGCTCCCACAAAGTGACCCCCAAGGACCTACGTACAATCCCGCACAAAACAAAATAGATGTAGGGTACCAAGCACTGACGACTTTCGCAAATAATTAACACTTGCTGGTCCTCTGGTGGTGAGATTACTCCCAAAACTCCGCCATGGTAGTGTTCGGACTGGGCACGGTTGGCGCAGAGTAGCCCACAGGGCAAACATAACATCGCCAAAGAGTGCTAACATAGTCCTTTTGTTTTCAGCTGGCTAATACCAAAACGTGACCCTTCGTCAAGTTGACTGAAAGGCACTTCGTGATTGACACGGCAATTCCCATAGCAGGTGCCAAACTTAATGCATTAGCTAATGAAGAGCAGAGTGGATCTTTGCAGGGGTTGGGGGGGGGGAACATTCTGGATTTCAACATGTCTTTATTCAGAAGGTAATGTGGCTCTTGTAATAAGAGCTAGCTTGCGTAACGCTGCAATTTATGACCTCCCGGGAAGCATTTGGCCAAGCGGCACAGCAGCCAGCCTACACTTGAGCGCTACTTACGTCGGTGCCTTGTTAGTGGCAGACATTACGCAGATTCGACTGGGGTTTGGGAAGGGGGGGCGGGGGGTCGCATCTCGATACAGTTTCAAGCAGATGTGCACACATGACAATAACGATGTGAAGAAGAAGCCTCAAGTGAGGTGTCAATGATTTAGACAATGTGATGAGCATGTGCAACAAAGGAGTTCATGGCAGAGTTCCGTTACAGTAAATGTTTGAATGAAAAACACTTCCAGGCCAAAAAAACATGACCAAAAAAAAAAAACAAAAAAAAACAGTAAGGGCTATATCTGAGTGTGAGTGGATGTATTTGCATGGATATAAGATGAAAGTGCAACTTTTCGCATCAGGACAACACAATTATTTGCAAACAAATCAAAAAAGTCCCGTACAGGCATGCCTTTTCCTTTCCAGCTTTGCTTTCTCATGAGGTCATTTGATTTGGGTGCGCCACGGGTCATTTCGCACTTGCTGAAGCGACAGCGTATTCTATACGTACCAAACATTGCTGGACTTGGTATGCTCCAAAGCGATCACCCCCCCGTGGCGCTCGCCCACCAATTCAGGAGCCAACCAGCGAAGGGGCGCAAACACATCGTCCTCTGTGATGATATAATCCTCCTATGATGACGTTTGCAAAACAACAACGGCGACAAAAAAGATCAGAGGCCGATATTACCGAACGGTCGCACAAAGCCATTTATTGTTTTTGCGCTTGCAAAAGCGAATGACGCCTTGATGCGGGGCAGGCAATGCACGCTCACTTTTGACTCACCAACCTCACCAGAAATAGCACCAGCGGGTGACCTTATGAGTATTAAATTCAAAGTGACAGATCAGCAAAATTCCAGGAACGCTGCAGACAGGAGGCCCTTGGCGCGCTTCGTTAGAGCAGCTCGTCACGTCGAAAGAGAATGATAAACGTTGGTCGCAAAAGCAAACACCTGCATTTTTCTTCCTCCTCATTTTATCTTCCTCCCTCCTCTGAGCTGCTGTTTCACTCTGACCAAATAGCAGCATGATGTCTTTGTCACATCAGCTTCACAAAAGAATGCCTTTCATTTGTCCTTTTTTTTCCCCGCACTTGGCCCAACTTGTCAAATTTGGACCTGGCATTGCGCCGGGAAATCCTTGCTGTTGTGCGCCGTTTGTGGGCCAGGATCCGGTTCTCACTCGCACTGCATTGAGACTTCAAGGGTTGAGTTACCAGCCGCCGTATGATTGAAAACAAGGTCAAAGGATACTTTCGACGCAGCACTTTTTTACTGTTATGAGCCAACGACCAACAATAAGAAAATTGATCGGTCCCATCACATTTGTGCTTACCTTATACGCAGAGGGCCCAATGCCATAGTCTCCGACTTTCACAGTAAGATCTGCCGTCAGGTAGCAGTTCCTCAGAGCTAAGTCACTGCAAAGGAAACGTCACCTAAGTTACATCGTCAAACAGGAAAGCAAAAAAAAAAATGTGAGAACAAAGCAGCACTTTGGGCAGACACAAACAATTCTTCGCCCCAACCCCCACAAAAAAAAACATTTATTGACAAGTTGTGTATTTAAAACACAAAGCTTTGTCTTTGACAAGTCCATTTAGCCTATTGCTAAACAACACGACTGTTTTTACATGTGATAATTGAACACAAAAAGGTGGAGCAACACATGTAGACGTACAATAGAATTCGAAAATATAGGAATAGATTTTTTTTTTCCTTTGCCCACAAATGACTGAATTGAGCACAGCTTACAGAGTCGGCTGGGAAACTTCTTCATGTGGGTCTGTAGGTCTGGATTACAGGGTTTTAGGTCATTGCGGTTGTATTTCTGACCTACCTGTTTGTTTTTGTTTGTGTGTGTGTGTGTGTGTGTGTGTGTGTGTGTGTGTGTGTGTGTGTGTGTGCGCACGCGCAAGGGTCCATATGTCCCTAGTGATGCACGGGAGTAATTTTAATTCTTGTAACGCCCCTTGAGTTGCATTTTATGTATGAAAAGCGCAGTACAAATAAAGGTGCAGTGATTATACTGCCCTTGTGTGGCCAAGACATGCACACTTGAAGGAGCAGTACTCCATTGAAATAAAGTAAAAACATTTTCACTGGGGGACAAGGATTGGACATACGTGTGTTTTGAGGTTTTTTTTAATTTATTTTTTGCTTTTAAACTCCCTAACCGCAAGAGGATGAATGCTTTGAAGGCTAGGTCAGTTCTTCGCCTTGCAACAAGACATGCGCAGGTTCTATTCCTGACTCATGCATACAGTAGCTGGATATTGTTTCGTGCGGGAAATGCAGCCCGTGTAAACTATTTTGCGTCGTTGCCAGGAGATGGCGTGCGGCGCTAAGTGGCTCTGTTTCTCTGTGTGTTCATGAAATCACCATGTGGTAGAGTGAATTAATTCATAGTGAAAAATTCATGATTAGTCACTTAGTAGTTGATTATTTTCTTTTCCTGAGGTGATCCTCCCGCCCCACAAATGACAAACAAGCATTTTTTGCGTGGACATGGCTGGGCTGGTGTCACAGCAGGAAACGGGCTTAACCGGACAAGGCCAGCTGGCGGAATGGCAACCATCACGCTCAGATCTCACCATCAGCATGTTCAGTCATTTGTGCAATTTGATGCTACTAGGACGGGCAATGTCGATGATTTTATTTTCTTTTTCCCTTAGTTTAACCCTAAGCGGTCGCTGCAGTGGACAGCTTATCATGTTACCAGATTACAGGGGGCATGAAAGAGTTAGGAACGAGCACGCATTCGATCGCAAAGTCTTGTTAACAGCACACGAAAGGGTCACTGACGTATGAACATTTTGGTTCGTGCCGACTCGACGGTCTCACTTGCTTAGGGAACCTCTGAGGCCTCCCATAGAGTTGTAACAAGGATTTAAAAGACATCTTCCAAAACGGGGCTATCCTTTTACACGCAGAGAGCAGAATCATCATTCGCCGCTGGCAGTGGACAGCTGACACGGTGGCAATGCATCGGAGCTGGTGTAATTGGAACCCTCGGAGCTTATTCCGAGCATGCAAATAGAGCCGATGAGCTGAGCATCGTCGGTTACCCTCATGCCGCACTTTGCTGCTAGCCAGCCCCCCGACCCCGATGTCCCTCCGCCACCGACATGCGGCCTGTCAGCGGCCGGTCATCCAATGTGCACCGTGGTTTAAAAAAAAAAAAAAAAAAAA